ATGTAATAAGAATGAAATGCTATTGCATCCACTCCCAGCTACATCTAGAATCCAGAATCTGTATCTAGAGTTTTGCTGCTGAAGATACAATTTTTAGATTAGATTAGATTAATCTATTGATCACACCACATTTCTTTTAGAATTTCAACATAATTCCTACATAATTATATCATGTAATCATGTAAACAAAGTCATAGCAAGTGCTTTGATGTGAAATACTCCATTCTAGGGAAACTATTTGCAGTTATTCAGTGAGGTGGCTTTAGGAACCAGACATCCGAAGTGTTTAATGCTACTAAAAGCTACCTGAGAGCAAGCAATCACATGGATATAGATACGCTGCCTAACCCCTGATGTTATTATGATTGTTTTGAGATACAGATTTGTCCTAAAACACATTTTAACTTCTTAAAGGGCCAGCACTCACTAGCATGCCCAAAGTTTTATTATACACCTCTATAATCGAAGAACAGCTCAACCAGCATTGAAGTCTCTGTAGATACTGAATAGTAAACTTTAGTATGTAAGAAACCTGAAAATACTCAGAAGAGTATTAATAAAATAAAAATTCACAAGACACAAGTAGGTTCACAGATCATTTGGATAGAAAATAAAATGGCTATATTTGCATCATGACCCTTTTTTCCTATTCCACATTATTTAAAACTGAAACTCAGAATGACTGCCTACATTTCAATGACTGAATTATGCAGATATTACTTCTGGACCCCTTTATCACCTTAAAGGCTTATTATTCAGTAACTACAAGGACTTCAGCGCCACCCAACTGAGCTATTTAATTTCTATTGATTCATTTGTCATGAAATGTCCATACAGTATAAAGGGCAGCTAGAATGTTCAAATAGTGTCTATACATACACAGTTGTACGCAGAAGTCTGAATACCCTTGGTCAAATGATGTGTTTTATTGAAAATATGTACAATACTCTACAAAGAACATACTTCTGCACATTTTAATGCACAATTATTGTTTATTTGTTACAAATTAGAAAAAAATAAAACATAAAATGTGGCCTGTGCAAATGTTATGGCACATTTATGCTTTTTTTCCTCAAATAAATAAAAATTACTAAAATTTGCAGAAAAATACCTTATTTAAATTTGTTCTTTGAAACTAAAAAATCAGTTTAACTTGAGCATGTTTTGTAATATACATTAAAAACATAACTTTTATGTGTAATGTGAATTTGACAGTAATTTATTTTTAGCTAACTGGTAAAAGAAGAGATATTATAATGCATTATGGAACTTAATTATATGAAGTCACTTTATAAAGTGTTCATTTTATGAAGTCACTTTATAAAGTGTTATGCATATAAGTACAACTACTTAAGAGCAATTATACAAGCTTATGCCTGGTATTATAAAGTAATATGTGTGCCATATGATGCATTATTAATGCATTTATAAAGCATTATGAATACAGGATTTACAGGAAGTTTAAAAAAATCTACTGACATCAAATGCATGTGCTGGAGTTAAAAGGTTTTGATATGACAACAATGATATCAAACTAGTTCAAGCACAAGCGCTGTATTAACAGGTCTGCTGCATCACTATGCCTCAGGGATGTGTGTAGTAATTACAGACACGAAACTCCTCCCAGATAAAATCTCAGTACATCTGTAATATGTCAGTCTTGCCAACTACATTATGTGTAATGAAATAAAGTCAGATGCATGAAATCAGCCTTGAAAACTGGGTTGGATCTGCAACCGCATTTTGACAGTTATTGCAAATGAAGAGCTATTTCACGATTAGCCATAGCCCAGGTTTCATATAATGCATCAATCTTGGAGCAGTTCCCAGCATTGGAATAAGGCTTCATCTGCATGCCTACTGCAGCAGCTCATTTAAAATGACCAGTCATGCATTGTTCCTTATCTATTACACTTGCAGTGTCCAGACTTACAATGCTACTAAACAGAACGGTGGAGCTAAATGGTTTTGTCACACATTTTCTATGAGTGCAAGCAGTAAACAAGTGAACACGTCTGGGAATCATAAACAGCTGCTCCTCATATTCTCACCCACACATTATATGCAAGACCCTGAGTCATAATGAAACCTAACCAGGATGGTTCAGTGCATTCCCACACATGTCAGTTCCACTTAGGATCTGTAATTACATTGGCTGAAGAACAGGACTGCTTAGTTTGAATTATTGTATAAGCTGTTGAGGAATATAAGATGCTGAGTCTCTTAGAAGACAGACAAACCAAAACCACAGGGCAGTAAACAACCATCATGGTTCAGTATTGCTCCAACTTTGGGTGGTTAATAACCAAAAATACTAATAAGTGAACCAATACTCATTTTCTTGTGATGTAGTTTTCTGTAATAGAATACTGCATGATTAGCTGAGCATTGTGTATATGAGTTAACAAAAAGTGAATGTGAATCATAATACATTTTCCTACCATACCGTGAAACATAGCATGATGGAGGATCTCCGAGCTGGCATTTCGACTGATAATGGATGGGGGTTGAAGAGGTAACTGTTTAATATCATTTTTCTCTGCCCACTGGTGCATTGTGATGCAATCAAACCTCAAAAAATGGATTAGAGGATGGCAAAAGTCATTATAATTCAGTTTAAAAACACAGGAAAATACCAGTTTCCTCTTTTAAACAGTATGCTACGATGAATGATACTTACTATCATTAGGGACATAATAAGGTAAAAAAGTGGCAAATTTCAAATTGACTTTAATGCATACATCTGTTTTACTCCATAGGTTTTGTGTGGCTACCCAGCTTTTGGGCTCCACACTTATTTGCATAGCCAAATCACAACACAGCACAAATTTCTCCTTTCTCTCTCTCACATGCACAAACAGGGGGTCACTTTTACATCCTGATTGTTGTATTCAAACTAAGTACTAAAGGAAATAAACTTGAAATAAAATGAAAAAATGTGTTTTGTGAGGTTATGTTGAGATATTCATCACCTAGCTCAGGTATGGAGTAATGGAATATTTTTGATTGATGAGATAAGCTGAAGTAAGCTGAAGTAGAATGAAGCACTTTTTCTAGGAAAATGCTTGACAGGAAGTCAGATAGTTATTAAAGAGAGGTTTTCTGAGGACAGAGCAATGCTCCCCACCCCACCCCAGACATCAAAGAATCCACACCTCAGGAAAACAGACTTCTGTACTTTTCTAAAATGTGTTAAAGGAAGTGTAACCTCCCCAGAACACCCATAATGAGATAATCCTAAGATTACCATCTAAACATATATGACACATTTTAGCATTGAATACTTAGCCAAACTATTTTCTCTACCAGATGTATGTATGGAGGTATGGTTTGTTGCATGTGCTGTAACCAAATGGAACTAAAGCTCCATTTTCCCATTTTTTAGAACCATTTGAACCCGACAGCTGTCCATCACACTGTGTGAATATTGAATGACAAACGGACCAAATGATGTGTACATCGAATAAAACTATTTTTTTCTGACATGTAATATTTTAACAATGCAGTCAATATAAAGATTTATAACATAAGCAAACACATATTTAGCAATGTTGCCAAAAGGCCAAGAATTAAACATAAACATTCCACAAATTATGAACCTTATAATTTATTGTCCTGTTTTTGTTTGCCATTGTCTTGCTTTTAACTAGACAACAAATCATGTAATTAGAACAATCAACCAATGAAATTTCCTTGGTTTCTTTGTTTTTCTGGCCAGATGGTTTTATAGTGCTTTATGGGAAGTAAAATTCATCTTTCCCTTCTAGAAAATTGAGATCATAGTATCTCTTGATATCTCAATAACATCTTGATATTTCAGTATTTTCTCCTACACAACAATGATCACATTCAAAGACAAAGCAGACCTTTCCTCCTGCTGTTCAGATATTTTCCTGAGCAAAGTAATCTTAAATGTGCCTCCTTTAGAGATGTCAATAAATTCACACACTGTGCTCAGATTTGCCAACATAATGATGCTCATGTTTATCTGCAACTAAACTAGACAGACATCTCAATATGAACTCAACCATATCTCATCCAAGACTAAGAACTTTCTTAGTTTTGATGTTGTGAATAACAATTTTTTTTATCTGGGCCAAAAGCATCTAATTTCTGCATTTTGTCCAATGGTACTTGTCCAAAAAAAGTTTAGGAGAATCATCTTTAAGCCTCCTGAGCATCACAGAGCAGTATTTGAGCAATAATTTTTTTCTCTGGGTTTTTATTATTATCATTAATAATGTCTTTTCGGCACTGTGTCAATTTGCCATAGAGTGTGAATAAGTTTTGCTGTATGTGTGAGAACTTTTTGCTGACTAAAGCATGATTAGTCACTGTGGTTTAGCTAATGCGTGTTAATAAAACTCCTCTACAGGATTGAAAACACAAAGGAAGCACACACACACCCTTCAAGTATGTGTGTGATCTATGTTAATTGCACTCTAATCAAAGAGGCCGGCTATTGTTACCACTTAGAAAAAAGTGAAGCTTTTTCCTTTTGCTGTACAAAGAATGTGCAAAGCTATCCAGAACTCCATCATTTGTATACTGGAGCTCAACTTTTCTGTCTCCAATATCTGGTTTCCAGCAGACATACAATTTTCCTGTACCATAATTATAAATATGAACACTTTAGCAGATCACAGTTTACTTTCATTGCAGTAAAACCCAATAATGGACAACACTGACTAAAACAGACCCACCAAATAGGCTACTGCACTTCAGGCAACAAGTGAGGCGACAGGTTGTCCTTGCACAATCATGTGTCTACTAGCCAGCTCAGGTCTCATGAAGCTAAATACTCCTGGAGGCTATCTCAGCTTTATTCACACCTCATAGCACACTAATTCCTATTCAAAAGCATTCACCCTAAACCCCACTGTAATACCCTGTTGAACAGCCCATCAATCTGTTTGTAAGTCACTAGGTCAGTAGCACAAAACAACAAAACAAGACCATAAAAATATCACCAAACAAAACAGCATTATCAATTTTCATACCATTTTGCCGATGCTTTCCACACTATCCAGCTGTCATGTTCTAGTTCATTAATCCATAAAAAATGCAGATCAGTTTTGCAGATGGGCTGGTATTTATTTCCATGGTCGTTTACATCCAAAGTGGCTGTCGTATCTGAGCTAATGTCCGGCTTGCAGAGGCTGGTGTATTTTGGCTGTAGTAACGTGCCGCCATCCTACAGTGAGTTTTCACTCAGTTTGCACGAGAGTAGCTAAAGCAGAAAGCTGTAAAGTGTCAGGCAGCCTGTTGCTTGGCTTGCTGCTCTGTTGCTTCCTGACTGCACCGTGCTTTTTTTCATGGAGAGAGAGAGTGAGTGAGAGAGAGGGAGAAGGAGGGAGGGAGGGAGAGAGAGAGAGGGAGAGAGCGAGGGGGAGGAGAGAAGCTTTCTCTTTCAGAGGAAATCCCCCTTAAGGCTTTTCATACTTTTCCTCAGTGGCAGTTCTGGACCTCGTCTCCCCCCAAACTCGTGTACAACACACACTCACGCATAACACAGACACACAAACCACACACACACACACACACACACACACACACACACACACACACACACACACGCACACACACACACACACACACACACCCACACACACTTCATTCATGGACAAAAAGACCACTAAAGGCTCTCTGAACTTTTTCATTTCCTCTGTTCTTCTATTCTGCCACTCTCAGTCTCTCAGGCATTTAAACACATCAGAGAGAGAGCGAGAGAGAGAGAGAGAGAGAGAAAAGACAGAAAGATGGCATAGAGAGAGAGAGAGAGAGAGAGAAAGGGTGAGAGAGCAAGAGAAAGAAGATGAAAGAGAGAAAGAAAGAAAGAAAGAAAGAAAGAAAGAAAGAAAGAAAGAGAGGGTAAGACAGAGAGAGAGCAAGAGAAAGAGCTTTAGAAAGAGAGAGAGCAAGAGAAAGAGCTTTAGAAAGAGAGAGAGAAAGCAAGAGAGAGAGAAAACGGAGAAAAGGGAGAGAAAGAAGAGAGAGAAAAAAGAGAAAAGAGAGAGAGAAAGAAAGAGTGGGTGACAGAAAGAGGAGGGCAAGAGAGCAAGGGAAAGAGGGAGAAAGAGAAAGAAAATGAGAGCAGGGGAGGGAGAAAAAGAGAAAAAAAGAGAATCAGGGAAAGAGAGAAAGCAAGAGAAAGAGGAGAGAGGGCGAGAGAGGGGGAGAGAGAGTGAGAAACAAAAAAGGCAGAGAGAGCAATAGAAAGAGAGAGAGAAAGCAGGCAAAAGAGAGAGTGACAGTGACAGCAAGAGTGAGAGAGAGAGAGAGAGAGAGAGATACAGTGAGGGAGAGACCGAGAGAGACAGCAAGGTAGTGAGAGCAAGACAAAGAGAGACAGAAACAGAGAGAAAGACAGCATGTGCAAAACAAAAAGAGATCGTGAGAGAAGAGAGAAAGAGAGGGACAGAGAGAGACTGAGACAGACGGAGAGACCAAGAAAGAGAGCAGACCCCTTGGAATGTACGGTTACACCCTTCTCTCACACTCTATGCACACAAACACATGTGAACACACACACACACAGGGGCTTGTGTGAGAGAGCTCTGCAGACCTGTTAATATTATTCAAACGCTCTCCTGACGTTTTCATGAGGAAGCGAGAGCAGAATAACACAGATGAATTCTGAGCCAAAGCACTCTGAGGAATGTTCATGGCCTACATACCAGCAAAGTGGGTTTCAAATACTGGACTGTGCTCTGCAGCTTCAAACTTCTCACCCACTCATTCTGCCCTGTTTTCTTCTATTTTCCCTTCTGTGATCCAGCATTTCTCTGTTTATCTCATTCTCTCTCTCTCTCTGTCCCTCTCTCTCTCTGCACCAGGTTGGTACAGATGTGTATCTCCAGATGTGCATGAGAAGAACTAAGATGGACAGATGTTTTGGCCTGAGATTAAACAAAGGGCCTGAAAAACGTATCTGCACTGGCTCTCTCTTTATCTCCTTCACAAGGCCACGCTCTATCCTTTTTGTTCAAAGAACGGCAATATTTATTCACACAATATCAAGTATGTTGTTAAAGGGAAATTCCATTTTTTTGAAATTTGCACACAATTAAATGGTTAAGATGTAAACAGTCGTTCAGAGTGGTTTGATGTGAAGTGCTTCATTCTAGGGAAATTTACCGAGTCAGAATTGTTCACATCAGTGGTTACAGGAACCAGACGTCTGAAGCGGTTAATGCCTACAAAAGATCCCTTACAGAAAGTTCCCTTATAGAAAAGTCACATAAATTTCATGAGAATAAGCATGTGTTTTTTTTTGTACACTATATGTGACAAATATATGTGATTTACTTATAAGGGTTATTACATTAAATTGTTATGAATACACTGTCTGATGCCTGAGACATTGTTTTATAATTGTTTTGAGACAAACTTTTATCCTAAAACATATTTTTTCATTTGTTTGTAGTGGAGAGGTACCTACAGGGTGCTGTAAGGCAAAACAATGCCCAAAGAAAACTTCTTTTTTCAGATATACTACTATTTTACTATCATCAGCTTTGCACATAAAAACTCAAAAGTCAAGTGAAGGTTCACTGCTCATTTTGGACAGTGAACAAAATAGTTACAAAGCACCCTTTCACATCACACCACTTTCATCAAACATAGCTTTGTTTACATCTCAACAAGTGAAATTTTGCAGAAATTTTGCAGAAAAATTGGTGCAATTCCCAGAGTTTCAGAGAAACAGAGTTTTATGCTTTTATGGTGAAAACACCCTTCATATTTTTTCCTCTGAACTGCCCTATTTCTGTAGAAACACACTGAGGGAGAAGGAGATTAATGACAGCATGTGCACTGGAGGGAAAGACAGCAGGAGCGAACGCTGCAAACAGCTGAGAAGAGAAAAGTGGGGTGGGGGTCTATGTTTTTATTCCTGCGTCCGTCTGATGTCCAGAAATGAAAAAAAGCCGGTCTGCAGAGGATGTCAGATCAAAGATGCGCGATGCAACTGACATGCACTCTAAAACCCCAGCTCATCTAAACCAGATGTGCCGAGAGGGGGTGGGGGTCCCAAGGTGGGACAACAAAGACATATGACACAGACTGAAAGAGAGATAATGAGTATGGGGAGAATAAGCCTTAATCTAACTTCTCTGCTGGGCATCAAGAAAGGATAAGAGAGGAGACAAGTTAGTGAATGAAATAATGCTGGATTGACAGATCTCGTTAAAGGGTCCAAAGAAGGGGGGAGCTGGCAAGTGGGATAGGATAGAATAGGAGAGAGTAAAATAGAGTGCAACTTTATTGTACAGCTACACTATATGTTCAAATGCTTGAAGACACCTGATTGTTTCTTCTGAAATTAAGGGTATTAGATGAACAGCCTGCACTCTTTACTCTAGAAGACTTTACTCTAGATATTGGAACACTGCTGTGAGGATCTGACTGCATTCAGCCATAAGCATTAGCAAGATCAGATGCTGATGTTGGATGATTAGTTCTGGATCACAAATACCACTCTGACTCCTCCAAAAGGAACTGGACGGAGCTCCATTATTCCAGAGAACACAGTCCCACCGCTCCAAAGCCCAGTGCTGGGAGGCTTTATAGCTTTATATGCTTGTTATTGCACATAGTGATTTACTGGCAATGCTTACGCAAGTTGCATGGGCAATAGTGCAACTTTATATCCAACTACATCGGAAGTCTCTCTCTGTCACAGTAAAACACATTAAAAAACAATATTATGCAAATTCTCAAAAAAACAACGTACATTGCTGTTAGAACAAATCTTCAAAAGGGTAACTTTACAGAAGAAGGAAAAAATATTCATAACTTTCATTAGATGTTAATGGAGCAAGTTCTTTTGGAGCATTAATTTTGTCCATTCATCATTAAATTATAACACAGTTTAAGGGGCAGCAGGAATTTACAAATTGTATTTAAAAATAAATAAATAAATAAAATTAAAAAATGGAGAATAATATAAGTTTTGTCCCAACAGTGACAACATGAACATCATATTGACCATTTTTTCCAGTTTTTCCTGAAATGGTCATCCTGAAACGTGAGGGAGAGAGAGAGAGAGAGAGAGAGAGAGAGAGAAAGGAGAAAGAGAGGTGGGGGGGTCACTGCTGTAGGCTGTAAGTACAGCTGGGATTTTTTCTATAACACAACAGTCTTAATCTCTAAAAAAGCCCTCAGGCTGTCCTGAACCACTGAGGGAAGTGTATGTGTGTGTGTGTGTGAAGTTCTCCTAAACCCACTAATCACAAGTCAGCATGTTTTTCATGAACTCATCAAATGCACACACCAACACACACACACACACACACACACACACACGCACACACACACACACACACACACACAGAGACTGCTGTCACAGTTAACACGCATACCAAACGCACACTCTCCTGTCTCTTCACGCTATAAACAGAAGCAATAATCCCTCTTACACACATTTAAGTAACACTACACAGATACCCCATCAAAGGCATCTGTTTACAATCCATAATCTCACTAAATCCCAGTAATCCATACAGACGAGATTTGACATGGAGAAAATTATTTCATCTCTTTGAGTGAAGGCATTTGATGTAGAAGGCTAAATCCTAGATTCAATGTCATTGATATATTTCAAAGTCAACAAGGGATTTGTCAGCAGTCTGTAGCTGCTGATTTAACATTTCATTTTAAAAGGACTGGTAATCTTCACCTGCAAGATTAGCATGTAAAGGGCATGTCATGCTAAACTTAACATTTCCAGTTAGCATGTAGCTCATGAGCAACAGTCCATGCAGCTGTTTTCTACAGGTTTAAACTATTTACGATAAAATGAACTGTAAATACGCTTAAGTATGGTTGAATTTACTGAAAGTCTTTTTATGAGTACAAGAACAGCCTGCATTAATGTGAGTTATACAGCACTCTTATTGAAGACACATGCTTTTTGGATCCACAGAAACTACTCTAAACAAAGATCGGGCTGACCGTAGCACATTCTGATAACACAAGTCATTCTGTAGCTCACGGGTCTGTTTAGGCTGAGTGTGTATGTGTGTGTCTGACTGACTCCCTGCTGTCTTTGAGCAGCCTCAATAGAGTGAGTCATCTGAGCCAGGTTTTATTGAGCACTTTATTCTAGGCCTGAAAGCCAGTTCGGCTTCCCTTTCGTTCACAAGGCTTCAAACCCAAACTGCAGACTTCATATGAGTGAATCAATATGCACGGATGTAATATACAATAACTGTAGATGTAGCTTTAGTCCCTAATTTGAAAGTACTCATCTAAAAACATTGTTTTGTGCTGTTTTATCCGTGTAACAGTCTTCTTACCAAATCAGCAATGGTCAATAATGTTTAGAGCAGCCAAGCTTGGTGTTACAGTAATGCCACAAAGGATGAGAAGGCCCTGGATCAGCATGACTTATGACTACTGAAATCCATAAAGTCTAATATACACATTGATGCGATATGAGCTGTTTAAGGGTGTGTCCTTTAGAAGGAAAAGAGGACAAAGCTGTTATCTGTTTGTCTTCTGTCTCCTTTGTTATCACTGTCTGCCCATCTCTGGCCCTGCAGTGAGCTCACTTCCTACAGCCATCTTAACCCCTTAAACCTCTTAAACTCATATACAGGTGCACACTTCAGTTCCTCACTCTCATAATTACTACAGTTTGACTGAGAGAAAATGTATAGTGGTTACTAAATTTACAACATCATGAAAAGTCACTACCCTTTATTTATTTAATTTCCAGTCTTCATCCAAAGCAGAAACATATTTATCAG